TGCGTATTCAGCTTGTGATGCAGCAGCATCTTATGGCGGAGTCATTGCAACCAACACACGTTGCCAATTCCGAAGCTCAGTTACTTTCTGTTTGGTGCCTTTGCGGTTTCGTGGTGTAGAGTACGTGTCTATTCGGTTCCTGGGTCTTTGGGACGGCTACAAGTAATCCGAGGACTAGTTCAATCAAAGGGACCAGATGTAATGAATTTTTTTGGGTTTAGAATTAGACTGCAAAGACTAGCTAAAATTAGGCGGCTTTTCGTATGGGGAAGAGGGACTAGATTTAAAGAAATGCTTCGGGGAACCTATCCCAAAAACAATTTTTAATAGAGATGCAATCCATTCCTATTCAGTTTGTACTAGAGCTCCAAGAGCCCCAAGGATCTTTAATAGAGATTCAATACATTCCTATTCAGGTTGTACTACAGCTCCAAGGACCCCAACATTATTTTTTAAGTTGACGCCCTCAATTTCTTATTCTGGCTGGGGGGGGACCCCAAATTAAACAAGTCCTCGGATGATTTCATGACATCAATGCCAAAGTTCCGACTATCTATACGCAGGTTTGCTACGTTCTTCGCTGCATGCACACCATGCATGTCCAAACACCCCAAGATGCACATTAAGCTATGTGGCCTAGGTGTGGGCATCGTAGAGCCATACTTCCCAAGTTGGGGTAGAAACCCCATACAAGAAAACGGCACAACACTCACAACACACAAAGCCAGCAAGCTCCGCCAGAATGATTCGCTGAACGCCCAGGCGCCCAAGCCTTGAGACCAAATGGGAACTTCTTAGCCGGTCCCATACCGCCGAAGTGTTCGTGAAGGAAGCTATCATAAGGGCCCCAATCAAAGAGACCCATACGCTCTTGGCGCACACGCTTAACCGAGAGTCTACTTCCAAAGCAAGAAGACACAAGTAGGTGAGATGGAGGAGCAGGCAACTAAACAGACCTGTCAGCTCACGCATGGGCAAATATTTATTCGCCTGAACCTAATTACAGGTGAGCTTTGCGTTACAAAACTTAGCGCGCGGTCTAGCATCACGAGTTGCAGATAAGCTGCCATAGCGCTGTGAGCGAATGATGAAACAATTGTGTTGGCATCACGCCATCTGCAAGACGTCCATAAACTCAGTATATATGTTTTGCGCGGTGCTCCTCAGTAGGGCACTCTCAAGAGAGCTGACAAGAAGTCGAGAATGCATGCTGGGTGTGTGGCGTAAGGGCGACGTTCTGGCCGATTCCGCCAGCACCCAACACAAGGCAAACTTGTCTCTCAATGAGACCTGCGCCGTGACCATTCTTTCCCATTACAACGGACTCTATGGGTTAAGCTCTTGCTATGGCATGGGCTTTAAGATAGATGATGTTTCTTGCTATTGCAACTACGGCAACGGCGTTTTTTCGTGGTGCTTACCCGATGGAATTCAAGTCTCTCTGCCAGAGAAAATGAACCTTGCAAGCCTGTCATTTCCTGCTTCAGCAGGACTCGAGAGGTCCTAAAGGGCGTTCTATAAGCTCACTATGCAGCAACCTGTTCCGTAATGTCAGTTGGTATGCCAAAGCAGGCAGGACTATGTCGGGTCGTGGTCATGCGACACTGTACGAGGTTTCAAGAAGGGCTCATATGCCCCACTTGAAAGCTACATACTGCACTCCTTCTGCAATCTCTTCACTCCAAATAGACGGTGCTCCTAAGCTCTTTGGGGTTCCTACTTGCACCTCCTCCGTATGATCGCAAACCTCCGCTGCCTTGGTCAAAGCCAGGGATGACGCGCTGCCGGTCAAAAGCATCGCCTGGAACTTCCTGCTGGGGATTGGGGATGGAGGGCTCAGGGGTTGAGATCTTGTTTCAGACGCCTGTCATCTTTGGAAAGGCAAAGGGAGGTGCACAGCTTGAAATTGCAAGGCCTCTGATTTCTGGGCTCAACCCTATCTCATCACACGCGCAGTTGTCAAATCTAAGCAGGGTGGAGTTCTCGAAGCCTCAGGAGTGAAACTTCCTGGATCTGTTGCAGTGGGGCTTCCAAAAACACAGGATCCCTTATCTGAAGCTGCAATTGCGTGAAGCAGGTCCATGCACCTATGTATGGTATATCCTGATATACTTGGGGCATTCTTGAGCAAAATGATTGTCGCATCCCCCCGGGAAACAAAAAAAGACTCCAGTCACTGAAAACATCTCGAGGCTAAAAACAATGCCATCCACCGCTGTAAAGCATAACGCTGCATCCCACCCCGCCGGGCTAAAGTCCTGGGGAGGTGGCCTTTTCCGGTTCCTGCCGGGAGAACAGCTGCAGGTGGGAGCGTAGCTGGTTTTTGCAGTTAGGGGGTGAGTAGTCCGGAATGCCAGTTTTCGCTGCACACACCGATTTGTAGGGTGTTGTTGCATTGAGTACAAGCGAACTTTGAAACAGGTCGACTCGAGGCTTGCAGTTGCAAGTGCCTCCTGCGGGCTTCAAACCACACTTGTCGTGAAGTCAAGGCACGCAATCTCATATTCTTTGTGCCCGTGCAAGAGACAGATTGTCTTGCAGAAGCTACAGCAGCAGGAATTGCTGTGGAGTGGGAAGTCCGCGTCACTTCATGTACTCTCTCGTCGAACCCCGATGGAGCGCCCTGAAGTCAGTAACTGTCGCCTTACAAAGCATGATAGCGAGTATCTGCGAGAAGTGCGAACTTCGGGGAGCAATGTCCTTGCCGTCTTTACACAGGCTTTCAGGCAAGGCTTGCAAACTGCATCCGAAGGCACAAGGCCAACAGAAACTGCAGTGTCCAAAGTGCAACGAAAGCTCCGATAGCCTGATGCTTGACGCCGCTGAAACTTATCAGCACGTGCCTGTGACAGAGCTTACAGAATACAAAGCCTCAAACCTCAAAGCAACACCGAAATCCTGCAAGCATCTGGAAAGATACTCCAGACTCTCAAGCTCTAGACAACCACATTCCGCAGTTTTCGCAATCTTTCCGATATCTCGTAGTTTCAAAGCACGAGAGCTCTCAACACCTGGAATCCAAAATCCTGGCCAAGGCGCTCAATCTCATTGCCAGCTTTGTACTCTGCAGAGTCCTCGGGCCACGCTTCGTCCTTCCGGACATAGCCTCCAAAGGCTGAACAAGGAACAGGGACTTTTGGGGGTACCGATTTCTTGTACTAAGGTGCGCCTGGCCTAGACAAGTTTCATGGGGAAAAAGTACCCCATGCCTGGGCTTGTGCTAGTCACATTCGTGCAAGACAACACCTGTCCCTCCTCTGCCAAGGCTTACGTAATTCCTATAGCTTGGAATGTGTGAATTACTTATCTTTCAGCAAAAAATGAAGCCCCACAACAGTCCCTGAGCCCCAAGATCGCTTGAGGCTTGCATCACAAGAATCCCCCCATCAGCTTTTGAAACGTTGGGCAAGCATCTGGCATTCACCTTGAAGACCCAAACACTTTTCCCCAAATTTGAGATCTTTTATATGTAGCAGTTGCCATGTCACCGTCATTTTGGTTTTCCATGTTCTTCTCCATTATGGTAGTTTCCCAAAATAGGAGGACCCCAATATAGACCCCAAAATACTATAGTCCTTATTATAGGGACCCCCCAAAATTGTACCCCTAATTTTGGGAAACCCCCTTATCACTACATATCATATCCCTGTAGCCTCTTAGTTGTCTTACGTACAGCACGAGTCGCAAAAAGGGGAAGCTCGGCCTCGGAAATGCGTTTCCGTAAGGTCAGTGCGGACAGCGCCGGCGCTCATGGCTACAATATTCTGTAATTATTGCCTTTATACATATTATTATCAGTGTTTCTGTTATTATCAATTTCTGATTGTTGCTACAATTCTTCTAATTGTTAATGTAAGTCCCTAATCTCTGCTTGCTCAGAGACAAATCGGTGCGCTATCATGCGTACTTGCAAGAGATTAGGGTGTAGGGAGGTGTGGCTTGGGGCACTTAGGACGAAAGGTGTGTAAACCTCAAAAGAAAGTCAGCAGGACACAAAGTTCGCCTCTAAAGCCTCCAGAAACTGTAGCTCTCACCTCCCATTTGCTTCTCAAAGTGCCCAAAATGCCGTTATCAGAGCCCCAAGGTTGCAAAGGTCAGGTTTCCATCGGAAAGAGGGCAGGTCGAGGCAATTCACGACAGCCTCTGTTGACTCCAAGGGCCGCGGAAACAAAGCCGAAATGGCATCAACATGATCCGACAAAGCCCGACATTTATCCCCATATCGTGCTAGGATGTGCTAGGATGTATCTTCCTGCTGCTGGAGTCACCCGCTCATGAAAGACATGGGCAAAAGTTCACTGATGGCTGGGATGGTCAGTGCTACTTGCACGTCGTTAAGCTCTTGAAAGTAGCAAGCTGCCTGCAAGCTAGCAACACAGTCTTCGGTATCTGACAAGGGCCAATAACAAGATGAGACTGGAAAGGGACCCCCGAAACTCTGAGCAATCACCTGTATTCGTACAGAAACCGGCGACGTGTCATGTCGCAGAAGGTTCTAAATTGAAATCCCTAAGCCAATTCATGTTTTTTAAGCATCATTCTAAACTCGTGCAGGGCGCATCTGAATTCAGACCTCCGAGACACAATATTCAATCTAGACATTCTTTTACCTGAGATGGCTTCTGTAATGGTGTCACCTGCATTCTTCTCACCAGTGCTTGATTGACGTGAACCACCCAAAATCCTACAAAGCATTGCACGCTGGCAGTGCAAACTTGTAGTCTTTAGGACGAGGCAGATTTTTTCATGTGTGGCTTTGATAAGCAGTCTGTCCCTGGCTTTGCGTACGGTGCAAAAGCGAATTAGGCACGCTATACCGGAGGGTCCTAGTCCTTGCCAGCCCTGAATTACCCATCTCTGCACTCCCCACCAGCAAGCGAAATACGCATAACATTGGCGCTTTTCTTAAATCGTGTTATTACAATTTGAACCTCTAGTCCATAACAGCCACAATAGAGGGGGCTTTTCAGGATCCCTTGAGCTCTTCCTGGGGATCAAGCTGACCTCCGCTGAGCGCTGGGGGGGGCAGCAGCTGCCTCAAACTCTATCAGACTCTGGGTTGTTAACGTGTACCAGCAACAGGAACACTTGTTGGACTAGCTATAGAAACGCAATGCTTACGTAGTGGTTACAATGGTAGCTCAACATGTAATAGGAAGACACGTGCCGCCCCATTATCATGTCACCATGAATATACAAGCATAGGACTCCCAAATCACATGAGGTTTCAGAGGAAAACGGCAACCCTTCAACTGGCTGAAGATCAGGGTTGCCGGCAGCATCAAGCCCAAAATCTTAAACGCCGTTTACAAGAACTACAACTTAAAGAGGTTTGTTCAGGTATCTTTCCCATACCACTACTACTAAAATATTGCTAACAACAGGCCCGAAAAATCTGAAGCCGAGCTACCTGCGATCATGTACTCCCAAGCCCTGACCTACGAGGCGAATCTTTGTATGAAGTGCACCTTGAGCCTGAAGATTCTAAGTGGTGTCTTACAACACACCACCTCCATGTGCCCCAAGCCCAAGCATTCCCACGAACTCCTCGGAGCTCTGCACCGCAAACTTCAAAATCCTAACCCCCAATGCCCTGACATCCCAAACCTCAACCCAAGCATTGTACTCCAGGCGCGCTACCGGCCCACGAGTTTGGGCCGAGCCTGGCAACTCCAAGTCTTAGAGGTCTCCGGATGGGAAGCTTCAAGTCCAATGTTGGGTTTTCGAGTTGGGGGGAATAGGGGTTTCAGGATTTCTCAGTTGAAAAAAAAACTACCTCGAGGTTGTTCTTAAAAATCAGGGTTCGCGTCACAGTGCGAATGTCCCGCCTCAAGCAGAGAATCCTAAAAACCCTCAACCCGTCCAACTGCCTTCAACCTCAGGCGCTACAGCCTAGCTTGTCCTTGCCTGGCCGCCGCTTAAAGCGAGGAGGAACCGGGAAGGACCTTCAGGGACGTGAAGGCTGGGGGCCAAAGAACAGTAATCATTGTCTGGGATCCACGCAGGACTTCACCCCCAGGCAATCCTCCTAGGGTTAACTTGCATAGCCAGTGCCCTTGATGCTTAAAGGTTTCGGAAAGAGTGCAAAACTGAGAGACTGGGGTTGAAAGGATAATTCATGGACAGCAGTTCTTGTTTGAAGGCTCGCATCTTCAGCGGCGGGACAATGATCACCCAGACAATCAAGATCCCTCAAGTGGTAGAAGACTACATGGATCATCCCATGTTGAATCCACTCGGACTGTGGCGGCTGGATTGCTTATCGTCTGAATCTAGGCAGCAAGCGTGCGGCGTGCTCTGGGCAACAAGCGCTTTACAGGGTTCGTTTGTTCTGCAAACCAAGTCTACTTAATACTCAACATGCGTGCAGCTCTGGAATTTCCGCTGATTGGGGATTTCTGGCGGTGGCTCAGAACATTCTGCAGTGCAAGCACACGCATACCGCACACAGTAGCTATGACGAGCCGGTAGCATGTCGACTCAAAGCTACAGGCCCCCCCTGTACAACCTAAGGCTGAAGCGCATCCCACTTGCAGGTTGGCGTCTCGCGTGCTGCAGTGCGTTGATACAGTGCTCTGAGAACAGGTTTGGGAAGCCTAGAATAAACGCAACTTCGCAATGGTAAGGCCTACTCAGGGCCTACTCTACTGCGACCCCATTGCGCTGAAACCACAAACTTGCAGCCAAAAACCCTCGAACCATGACGAAGCCCAAGATATCAACACCTTGCGCGCTGAACAGCCAGAATAAACTGGCTCCTGTTCTTTCAGGTCCTGGCGGTCCGGTATGCTTCCAGCTGACAGCTTGCCAGATGGGCAGGCCCTGGCAGGAAACGTTAAAACAGAACTATCCTTCACGGGCTATTTTTGCATCTTAATTGAATAACAGGCGCGGCGGCATCCAAGCGCCCTGCAGTAAGATAATGGAAAACCCTTGTAGCAGATCAACGCTTGCGTGCTTGTTCTTGATCCTCTCTAAACGGATCAAGCCCCTTTGCATCAATGTCCTGTCTAGTCCTACAGGAAATTTCCTACATGCACCCTTTCATCCCCCAAAAGTGGTAGTTTGGATTCTCTCCCAAACTTAAGAGTACTCCATACACCAGCACAAAAACACACAGCCTTTATTACAGGTGAGCCAAAGATCTCCACAGTTGAGCGCATGATTTTGAGAACCCCGGTTTCAAACTGGGACTAGGTGTGGAAAGCACGCTGGCCAGGCCCAGTTGAGAATCCTTCTCTTAGAGAACTCCGAAAATCCTGATCCTTGAGCCGCTAGCCCTCTCCCTATATACTGTAGGCCCTTTCTTTCGCTACGGAGAGGGCTGTATGGTCTAATCCCACCGCCTGGCGCTGGTCGTCATAAAACTCGGGCGCGGCGGAGCGGAGAGGCCCAACCGGCCACCTGAGAAACGCAGGTTGGCAAAATACCATTTAAAGCTGCAGCATATGCGATCTTAATTAGCATAGGTGAGAATGTGTGAGCCAATTAACACCAAGGCACATTACATATGCCCACATACACGCGCTCAGACACATGTGCATCTTTCACAGCATTGGTACTGCATCTATTTACGATGTAATGTTTGCAACTACTCCAGGCTTGAGGAGGTCTCGTACGAAATTACTCAGACCGTCTTCAAACATTTTGTTGCACATCGGCTCTGAGGGCTGCGCGTCCGCGACGGCGAGAAGACTCGTGCCTCCTGACAGCGAGGTTCCCCAGCTCACCAAATACCCTGATGATGCCTGATACTTTAAGGGACCCTGTAGGTACTGAGGCACAGCACGCAGGAGGCGCAGCGTAAAGTTCTTGCAATGTGCTGCCCGCATGTTGCCATTTTCAAGCCTTGTTTCCACAGGTTCTGTGGCCTGGTCAGCTCTGTAGCCCTGCATGGGACATTGGTTATCCTCAAAGCTGTGCTCTTCTGTTGCCATGGCCCTTGTCTGCCTACGAGTTGGTCCTGTGCAAAGCCTATGCTCGAAACCCGAACTCGAAAACCTAGTTTCTTTCACCGTGAGTTCCTGAGTGTCCATCACTTGTACAATGGCCCCTTAGCCAGAACCCCTTCTGACAACTCGAAAATGAAAGCCCAAACATGAATTTCACACCGGCTAGGAAATTTTTCAAAGCAGCATAATACAAGAAACTCTTCTCTGCAAGCACAATCCCAAAGAAAAACACCTCTGACATATAGTGAATAGAATCCCTTCTCCCTACCTAGTCTAGCGTAGCCCCGTTAAGCCTGCAAGAATCACGTTATGGAGCCTTGTTCTTGTTGAACCCGCTACAGCCTATACTACCCTGCGGAATACACATGGCCTCCCAAAGATTCAGCTGCTTTGGCTTCAGCGTCCTGGGCACAATGGCTCCCATACAAGGAGGCCCCCTAAGTCAGCAAGTCACCCTTCGTCTAGTCAAGTTCCGGGTGCTGCAAGTCCCCATGGTTGATGAGTCATGGGCACTGAGAAGCCCCAGTTGGCCATTCCGGTCATCTCGGGGCCCATCATAAGGTAAATTAATACATAGGTCGCCATTGTAAGGCTCATTGTAAGGGCCTCATCCCCACATGAGATTTCGTAGGTGTGAACTTGTCAAGAAGAGGTTGGCACCACGACAGTACCAAGGCGGTGTCTTTCAATCCTGTCTGGAAGTCATGAGCAATGCATGGTATCCGTATGGCCTCTGCATCACAGCAGCTTAGCACAACAAGCGCAGGGGGCGAGGTGACAGGACTGGCTGCCACAACTGCCGCCAACACCACCACCACCACCACCACCACCACCACCACCAGCAGCACCAGCAGCACCAGCAGCACCAGCAGCACCAGCACCAGCACCAGCACCAGCATCAGCACCACCACCACCACCACCACCACCACCACCACCACCATGCCACAAGGCGAAAGAGTCTGACC